GAGAAGTCGCCGCAGGAGCTGCAGGAGGTCGCGTCTCGCTGGGGCCTCGACATGGGGCACCTTGTGAAGCTGGCCTACCCGACCATGGGGGCCAGCTGGGAGAAGGCGAGCGGCGGCCGAGGAGGAGGAGGAGGCGGAGAGCAGGAGGACAGGGAGGAGGACGGGAGGAGGACGGGATGAGGACGGGGAGGAGCAGGCGGAGGAGGAGGATGAGGAGGAGGAGGAGATTTTTTAGATTGCGCATCTGATTCGCCTGGTGACGGTCAGAGAAAAAGCGGCGCTGCAACTAGCAGACTTAAAAGGCTGCACGGGCACCAAGTGAACAAGTACAGTACAGTACCTCCTCCCCACCTCCCATAATATGCTAACCCAGCTACCCGACCCATAGTAGGCGACCCGCGCCATAGTAGGCGATCGCAGACTCGCAACCGTGGTCAGTGAGACAACAGGCGGGCAACGGTCCTGCGACAGGCTTCTTTGGCAGCGAGCCTCGCCGGCCCCTCTCGAGACTCTCAACCGTAGTCAGTGAGACAGTCAGGGGCGGTCCTGCGACAGACTTCTTTGGCAGCGAGCCTCGCCGGCTCCTCTGCCCTCCCTGCAACGTGCACCCGCCCTGCTACCCCATCCTGCACGGGTGGAGGCACAGTCCACCTGGCGGCGGGCGCGACGACGACGACGCCGAGAGCCCTGCCACGGGCCAAGCGCTACGGGTGCTTGGTTTGGTCGCGGGTCGACCCCCGAGACAGGACAGAGGGGGAGGGGAGGAAGAGGCTCTCACGGAGGGGAGAGGCGAGGAGGCGCTCGCTGCTACACTGCCGCGCCGCTCGCTCGCGCCGGGCGGCGGGGGCGGCGGGGCGGGCGTGCGGCGGCGGGGCGGCGGGGCGCGCGCGCGCGCCCTGCTCTCTGCTCTCATCCACGTCCGTCGGAGGGAGGAGGAGGGAGGAGGAGGAGGAGGAGGAGGAGGAGAGGAGAGGCGGAGGAGGGAGAGGATGAGGAGGAGGAGGAGGAGGAGGAGGAGGGAGAGGAGGGAGCTGCGAGCCTAGCGCTCGAAGTTCGCTCAACGCCCCAAAAGAGGAGGCCTCCACAGGGTGATGAACGAAGAAGGAGGAGGGGTAGGAGGAGGCGAAGGAGGGGGAGGACGGTGTAGTAGTAGCAGTCGTAATAGTAATAGAAAGTCGTCGTCGTCGTCGTCGTCGTCGTCGTCGTCGTCGTCGTAGTAGTAGTAGTAGTAGTAGTAGTAGTAGTAGTAGTAGTAGTAGTAGTAGTAGTAGTAGTAGTAGTAGTAGTAGTAGTAGTAGTAGTAGTAGTAGTCGTCGTAGTAGTAGTAGTAGTAGTAGTGGTAGTAGTAGTAGTAGTAGTAGTAGTAGTAGTAGTAGTAGTAGTAGTAGTAGTATGAGTCGGAGTCGGAGTAGGAGTAGGAGTAGGAGTAGGAGTAGGAGTAGTAGGAGTAGGAGTAGGAGTAATAGTAGTAGTCGTAGTCATGGTCGTAGTCGTAGTCGTAGTCGTAGCCGCAGACGTAGTCGTAGTCGTAGTAGTAGTTGCAGTCGTAGTCGTAACCGTAGTACTATCAGTAGTAGTAGTAGTAGTAGTAGTAGTAGTAGTAGTAGTAGTAGTAGTAGTAGTAGTAGTAGTAGTAGTAGTAGTAGTAATAGTAGTAGTAGTAGTCGTTGCAAGATCATCGACCTGGGATGGGATAAGCAGAGGGGTCCGGTCGTTCGCGGCGGCGAGCGCGGCGGCCACAAAAAGGGGGCAGGTTTTTGTTAAGGAGGGACATGGCTGCCAGGGGTCGCGCGGCGGGTCATTCGGCCGTTGCCCGGTTCATTGGCAATCCTCACCATGTAGAGCACGTGGGGCACAGCGGGAGTCATCGGGCTCCCCCCGCCGCTTTTGAAGTGAGGGCGCGAGGGGTTGGGGGGGGTGAAGAGGGCGTGTGAAGGCGGTGATGAGGGTTATGATGGTAGGCGCCCCAGCCATTCACAGTCTGGCAAGTGCGCCCCAGGATGCGTTCGCTTCGAGTGGAACTCGCGCGCCAGAGTGGCAGCGCCCTGCGCGACCCGCCACCCGTTGCGTTGCGCAGCTGGTGCTTCCAGCGCAACAGGGGCGCAGGGCAATTGGGTCGCGCTCGCTCGTTCGAGCTGTCCGCCTCGGGCCCTGCCCGGCCCCCCGCGAAAGCCCCCGACCCATGCTCGTCGCGCCCCCCGCTCCGCCCCCCCCCCGCCGGGCCCAATTATTTCGCGCGCTGCCCCCGGCGCCCCGAAGAGTCCGCAATAGGTAGGGGCAGTGAAATCGCCCTCCGCGCATGCCACCCCAGGCAAACAGGGGTCGCCAAATCCCGCTTCGCGCGCGGGGCGCTGGCGCCCAGGCGCCGCGGGCAATCCGAGCAGGCTTCGTCGTTCCAGCGCAGGCGGTCGCGGTCCAGGCGCAGCGGCCGCGAAACAGGGGCGATGTTTTTGTCAAGGGCGGGCGCCGGCGATAGGGTTCGCGCGGGGGGGCGGCGTTTGTTATTCATCGGCAACCCCCGCCGTGCAACGCGCGCGCGGGGCGCGGCGGGAGTCTGCGGCCCTTGGCGGCGCCCTGGAACGCGCGACATCGCGCGTTCGTTTGGTTGAGGACGTGCGGGGGATGCGGGGGCGGTGGGGATGGGGGGGAGGTGGGGTGGGGTGGGGTGGGGCGGGGCGGGGTGGGGTGGGGTGGTGTGTGCGTGTATGTGCGTGCGCGCGTGCGTGTGTGCGTGTGTGTGTGTGTGTGTGTGTGTGTGTGTGTTTGTGTGTGTGTGTGTGTGTGTGTGTGTGTGTGTGTGTGTGTGTGTGTGTGTATTGGGGGGGAATGGCGAGAAGGGTGCTCGACGTCGCGGCCGGGCCCCGTCGGGCAATCGCGCCGCGGCAAACGATCGTTTCGAGTGGAAGGCGCGCGTCAAGGCGGCACCCCCCCGTGCATGTGGCAAACTGCCCATTGCGCCGCGTCCCTTTTCCAATGCAAATGGTTCGCGGGGCAATGGGGGGGGCGCCTGCTCGCTCGAGCCGCATGTCTTGACCCTCGCCCCCCGCCCCCCCCTTCTTTCCCCCCTTCAGAAAACAAACAAAACTTCATGCTCATGGTCGTCGTGCGTTCGCCCCGGCTCGAACTATCATGTTCGCTGCTTCCAGTGCTTCCATGGGTCCGAAGGGGGGGGGGGGGGGGCAGGGGGGGCGGGCGGGTGGGCGGGGCGGGCGGGTGGAAGGGGGGGGATCACCCGTGAAATCAGGGGTCGCCGATTTCTGCCTTGCGCGCGGGACGCGGGGCTCTGGCATGCGGGCGTCGCAGAACGTCCACGTGGACATGTTCAGTCTATGTCGGCACCCGAGGCTCTTGTGGGTCGACTTGAAGTCGCCCATGACAGGTTTGGTCGCGCGCCGGTTTCGTTCGGCGCCCTCCCCCCTCCCCCTGTTCAGTGCCCAACCGCATTTGGCGCATGTTCCTCGCCCCCACTTCCTCTTCATGCGCCCCTCCCCCCCTGTGCCGCCTGCGATTGCGGGGGCGGGGGCGGGCGGGGTTGGGCGCGAGAGTCATTGCCCGCGTCCCGGTTTGCTTTCGCGCTTCCCGCCCCCGCGCGGGGGCGCCGCCTCTGCGCTTTGGCGCTCGAGGCGCCCGGAGTTTCATAAAAAATGCACCGCCCCCCTTTTCCCTTCCCGACTCCGCCTCGGGGTGAGGATGAGGAGAAAGGGTCGGGGCGAGGGGGGGGTGGGGGGGGCGGTGGCGCAGGGCGGGGGGCGATGACAGCGAGGACGAGGCAAGGAATGATGTGGAAGGGGGGAGGTCGAGCAGGGAGACAGGGCGACGCCAGGGGCGAAAGACAGCGGGAATGACAGCGACAGCGCCGAGCGGGATGGGGATGGGGGCGACGCGGGCGACGAGCAGGGAATTCTAAACGCTTCGCGCGACGCCGCCAGCTCATCCAGCAACGATGCCCAGACGAGTTGCACTGGTTAGGGAAAGAGGGGGGCGCGCAGAAGAACCAAAGGACCGCCGTGCCCCTTAAGAAGGGGGGGAAGGGGATCGGGGAAGGACGAGATGGAGGAGGTAGGGATGAGGGGGGGAAGGGGGGGGGGGGGCGGGGAAGTGGAGGGGGGCGAGGAGGGGCAGGGGGGTGAACGACCAGAGAGGTTTTTTTTCCAGCGCGCCGCTGCCAACCAAACTCCAGAGCGCAAGAGATGCAGGGGTTGCCAAACGACCAGAGAGGAGGTGGAGGAGGAGGGGGAGGAGGAGGAGGAGGTGGAGGAGGAGGAGGAGGAGGAGGAATCGGTAGGACAGTATCGAGGAAGCGGGGGGCGAGCAAAAAGGCCAAAGGCCCTTTGGATGCCTTTTCGGGGTGTCTTCGGATGTCTCTTGGAAGCTCCCCGGGGGCCTTTTGGGGCATCTTGGGGGGCCTCTTGGCGGCCCAGGGGCTTGGGTGCCTCGGGGAACCTTGTGGAAGTCTCTTGGGGGCCTCTTGGGGGGCCCTTTCGGGGTCTCTTGGGGGTCTCTTGGGGGCCTCTTCGGAGCATCTTCGGGCCTCCTGGGCGCCTGGTCGGGCAATCTTGGAAGAGATGGATCGAAGGAAGGGGGGGGGGGGGGGTCCTAAATTATCGCTGCCTCATGGATAGCCCGCCTCTGGGGCCACTTTTGCGGGCGCTTTGGAGCGCTCTTGGAGCCCTCTTGGGCCTCTTTTGGCGCTCTCTTGGGCCCTCCAGGAGTCATCTTGGGCCACGGGGGGCAATCGAAAGCAAGAGAGCGGGAAGGCAAACAACGCGTAGATTTTCGGTAGGTGCTTGATGCTGGCGCCCTGGGGCGTCCTGGAGGGGAGGGGCTTCGTGGTCATTTGGATCAGTCTTGGGGCGATATGGGGGCCTCTTGGAGCATGTTGGGAGCCATGTTGAGCTATCGCGGGCTATCTTGAGCCATCTTGGAAGTCATCTTGGGCTCCCTGAGGCGCTCTGAGAGCTATCCTGGGCCATCTTGGAAGCTCCAGTGGGTCGCGAGTCCAGGTCCAGGGGGGAAGTGTTTGGGGGAGTTGTGAACCCCTCACCGAGGGGTAGGAGGGGAAGCTGGGAGAGGAAATGCCTTAAACCAGTCACTCCCAGAGGGCT